TTTGTGTAGTATATTATACTGGGAGTCTGTCTTGTGTATGTTTATCTTCCAGTATGTTACACTGGATGAATATTATAATATAGTTGAGTCTTGTTTCGTCCCAGTATAATATACAGGACATCACCTGTGTGTAATCTTTTTTTCGATTATATTATACTGGAGGAGTTGAGTTTGGGCTGTATTTAATACTGGATGTCAATACTCCAAATTTCGATGTTAGTATAATTTGAACAATATACTGGAACGAATATAATCCAGTATATTATAATGGAGAAGTGGAAAATAGTGGAAATTATGTAATTAGAACAATTTACTGGAATTAATGAATTTAATATTTAGTGTCCTGTATATTATATTATGGTTGAGTTTTGTTTGGTTCCTGTATATTTTACAGGAATTCTACCGTGTTTAAGCTTGTTGTCCAGTATATTATACTGGAAAACTAGCATCTGTATTCTGTATTTAATATTTAGTGTCCTGTATAATTTACTGGAGTTTTATATTGTAAAACCACTATATCCTGTAATTATTACTGGAAATGAATATTGTTGATTTTTTTATCCTATATTCATCCAATTTTTATTACCTGCTATAGTATATGCTGGAATCGCTACTCATGAAGGAATATAATCCAGTATATTATAATGGAGAAGTGGAAAATAGTGGAAATTTGGTAATTAGAACAATTTGCTTGAATTAAATAATTTAATTTTTAGTTTCCTGTATAATTTGCTAGAGTGTTATATTGTAAAACCACTATATCCTGTAATTACTACTGGAATGGAATAATGCAGATTTTTTTATCCTATATTCATCCAATTTTTATTACCTCCTATAGTACATGCTGGAATCGCTACTCATGAAGGAATATAATACAGAATATAATAATGAAGAAGTGAAAAATAGTGAAAACTTGGTATCCAGAACAATTTGCTGGAATTAAATAATTTAATATTTAGTGTCCTGTATAATTTACTGGAGTTTTATATTGTACAACCACTATATCCTGTAATTGTTACTGGAAATGAATATTGCTCATTTTTTTATCCTATATTCATCCAATTTTTATTACCTCGTATATTATATGCTGGAATCACTACTCATGAAGGAATATAATCCAGTATATTATAATGGAGAAGTGGAAAATACTGGAAATTTTGTAATTAGAACAATTTACTGAAATTAAATAATTTAATATTTCGTTTCCTATATATTATACTGGAATTTTACATTGTAAAACCACTATATCCTGTAATTACTACTAGAATGAAATAATGCAGATTTTTTTATCCTATACTCATCCAATTTTTATTACCTGCTATAGTACATGCTGGAATCGCTACTCATGAAGGAATATAATCTAGTATATTATAATGGAGAAGTGGAAAACAATTTAAATTTTGGTAATTAGAACAATTTGCTGGAATTAAATAATTTAATTTTAGTTTGCTGTATAATTTGGTGGAGTGTTATATTGTAAAACCACTATATCCTGCAATTACTACTGGAATAGAATAATGCAGATTTTTTTATCCTATATTCATCCAATTTTTGTTTCCTGTATGTTACACTGGAGTAATATATTGTTAAAGCAGTAAACCCCGTATTTAATACTAGATATGAAAAATCACTAAAAAAAATGACTAATAATAAAGAACTCACCTAGTATAATATACTGGAGGTAAAGTTTATACAAGGCACATGTTCCGTGAAATTTACTGGAATCAAACAAAATTTACTAGAGGATAACCACTAACATCAAGTATAATATACTGGACAAAATGAAAGTAAGTGGAATTACATAATTGAATATTTTGTTTCCTTTATAATACACTGGAGTTATATGTCGTAAAACCACTATGTTTTTACGACATAGTGGTTTTTTTGTAAGCAAATCAAGAAGCAAAAAAAAAAAATACACAGTATTAATATTTTGAAAAACAAGAATATTGAATATGTATTATTCGGGATTACATCAGCCAATGCAAATTTATTGTATATATTCAATCATTTTTTTTCCTATATTTTCTTGCATAAGGATGAACTACAGAAGAATTTGTGCAATTTGTTCTGCTTTGCCCATATTTTTTGCAACGACTACATCTTGGTTCCTTCTTGAATTCTGTACCGGAAACATGTCGATTCTTCTGTCTTCTTCCTAGCAGTACTTTGGCATCTGGAGGCTTAGTGATTTCTGAATTAATAGTATCTGGTATAACCCATGTTGTTGCATCACCTACAGAATTTACTTGCCCTTCATACGTTTTCAACCAAAAGTCCCTTGAAAAATAGGTTGAGCAAAAGGCCGATTTCTTTTGATGTATACTCTCAATTGCAGCAATTGCATGTTCACATGGCATCTCATCTAGCTGAAATTCAGAACAATCACATGTTCTTTTGTCTAGATCAACAATAAATTCCATACCACCTTCTTTGACATTGAATTTGAGTCTATCAATGGGCAATACTCTAAATGTAAAAGCTGGTTGAATTTTTGCTTCCTATGTTGCTTCTGCCCAATTTGATATATCACGGAATATTCCTTCTGCAAGTGTCCTTCTTTCATAGAACCAGCTTTGCAATTTTTCTTGTATGAAATCCATCATTGTTAAAATTGGCAATTCTCTTGAACGTCTTAAAACATTATTCATTGACTCAACAATATTTGTTGTTAACATATCATATCTTCTTCTGGGACAATGTGAACGAGCCCACCTTCCTGGCGGTTCCTCCATCAAATAATTGAAAGTTTTCTTATCAACAGCAGCTATTTGGGACATGAAGTCATCAAATTCTGATTGAAGGTATACTCTTGCAGCACTTTGAAAGAGATTTATCACAGTGTTTCTCACTCTTCTTTGCTTCAGATTCTTTTCTAAATGATAGATGCAAATTCCATGGTAGCACTCAGGGAAAACCTTTGCAATTCCATTTGCAATAGCCTTGTGTCGATCTGACAAGAACATTAAATCATTACGAATCCCAATTGCTTTTCTTAATTCCCTGAAATACCATTCATATGATTCATTATTCTCTTTATCCACTACTCCAAAAGCTATAGGAAAAATATGGTTATTTGCATCTTTGGTAACAGCCACTAATAGAACACCTCTATATTTATTTTTTAGAAATGTTCCATCAACAGCAATCAGTGGTCTACAATACTTCCACCCAGAAATTGATGCCCCATATATAAAAAACATGTAAACAAACCTGTAAAAAGAAAAGTAAATAAAATTCAGTTAACTTACACAGTATAATATACTGGAGATAAAGCTCATGCCACACGTCCTATAAAATTTACGGGCATCAAACAAAAATTAACTATTTTATAATATTCTTCCAGTATAACATACTGGAGTTCCATTAACATCTAGTATAATATACTAGATAAAATAAACTAAAAATACAAAATTTTAGGTTAAACAGAACTCACCCAGTATATTATACAAGACAGAAAGCTTATAAAATACAGATATCCTGTAAAATATACTGTATGACAACCACTAACATCCTGTATAATATACTGTACAAAATCAAATACAATAGATTGAAGATAAGTCACCCAGTATAATTTACAGGAAAGAAAGCTTTTACAATACACACGTCCTGTAAAATATACCGGAAGACAAACACTAACTTCCTGTTTAATATACTGCACAAAATAAAATAAAATTGAAAATACATAACTTAATATTTTTAGTTTCCTGTATATTAAACTGGAGTTAT